ACGAGCATCAGAGGCCTGGTGGTTCATTTTAGAGGATTGACCTTCCCGAGTGGAAGTGGGAGCGGATCACTATGGATTTCGTTGTTGGACTCTCGTAGACTCGGAGGAAGTTCGACGCAGTATGGGTCATTATTGATAGGCTGACCAAGTCAGCGCATTTCATTTCTGTGGCAGTCTCCTATTCTTCTGAGAGTTAGTTGAGATCTATATCCAGGAGATTGTTCGCCTTCATGGCGTGCCCGTGTTTATCATTTCGGACCGAGGTACACAGTTTACCTCACACTTCTGGAGAGCAGTTCAGTAAGAGTTGGGAACGTGGGTTGAGTTGAGCACAACATTTCATCCTCACACGGACGGGCAGTCCAATCGGACCATTCAGATTTTGGAGGACATGCTCCGAGTTTGTGTCATTGACTTTGGAGGCTCGTGGGATTAGTTTTTGCCTTTATTAGAGTTTGCCTACAACAACAGCTACCAGTCGAGTATCCAAATGGCTCCTTATGAGGCTTTATATGGTAGGCAATTTCGGTCTCCGATTGGATGGTTTGAGTCGGGAGAGGCTCGGTTGTTAGGTACGGATCTGGTTCAGGATGCCTTGGACAAGGTTAGGATCATTTAGGATAGGCTTCGTACAGCTCAGTCCAGGCAAAAGAGTTGTGTCGACCCCAAGGTTCGTGATTTAGCATTTATGGCCGGTGAGCGAGTTTTGCTTCGAGTGTCGCCTATGAAAGGCGTGATGAGATTTGGGAAGAAGGGCAAGCTTAGCCCTAGGTTCATTGGCCCGTTTGAGATCCTTGATCGAGTGGGAGAGGTGGCTTATAGACTTGCATTGTCGCCGAGCTTGTCAGCCATGCATCCAGTGTTTCATGTGTCTATGCTTCGGAAGTATCACCGCGATCCATCCCACGTGTTAGATTTCAGCACTATCTAGTTGGACAAGGACTTGTCTTATAAGGAGGAGCCAGTAGCTATCCTAGATCGGCAGGTTCGCTAGTTGAGATCGAAGAGTTTTCCTTCTGTTCGTGTTCAGTTGAGAGGTCAGCCTCCTGAGACATCGACCTGGAGTCTGAGTCCGATATGCGGAGCCGTTATCCCCATCTTTTCCCCGACTCAGTTACTTCCTTCTTCTGTCCGTTCGAGGACGAACGGTTGTTTTAGATGTGGAGAATGTGATGACCCAAGAGGTCATCACTTGTTTTAAAATACAATTCTACGTTCTAAGGCTTTAAAAACATCTTTTAGCAACACCTCGATTTGCGTGCACAGTCCGGACGCGTAGCCGGAAAGCTTATATGTGAAAATCTGTGAAAAATGATAAATTTTGACTATAAAATGAATGAATTTGACTTCGGTCAACGTTTTGGGTTAACGGACCCGGACCCATAATTTGACAGTCCTGGAGGGTCCATAGGAAAATATGGGACTTGCGAGTACGCCCGGAATCGAATTCCGAGATCCCAAGCCCGAGAAATGAATTTTTTTAAAGAAAATTATTTTCTGAAATTGTTTAAAGTATTTGGAAATGAATTTTGATTAGAACATGTTGGTATTGGGCCCGTATTTTGGTTCCGGTGCCCGGTACAGGTCTTATATGTGATTTAAGATAATTTTGTGAAGTTTGGTAAGAAACGAAATCCGTTTGACGTGATTCAGACCTTAAATGCCAAATTTGATGTTTTAAGAAGTTTTGAAATATTTCATTGATTTTGATGTTTACTTCGTTGTTTAAGGGGTTAATTTGGCGATTTGATCGCGCGGATAAGTTCATATGATGTTTATGAGTTAGTACGTATGTTTGGTTTGGAGCCCCGAGGGCTTGGGTGTGTTTCAGAAGGTTTTTGAACTCATAAAAGTTGCAGGTTTTTCAGTTTCTAGAGTGCTGGTATTTTCTTCTTCGCGTTCGCCGGAGGACCCTCGCGAACGCGATGAGTAATTCATGTTGAAGGAAATTTCCTTCTACGTGAACGCGAAGTTTTGGGGGTTCTTCCCTTCGCGAACGCGGGCTTGGTATCACGAACGCGAAGGCTTGTGAGCCTGTGCAGGGCGAGGGGTATTATACCTACGCGAACGCGACCACCTAGACGCGAACGCGAAGGCTCGAGGAGTTAGTTCTCCGTGAACGCGAAGGTCTCTCAGGCCTAGCTTATCACGAACGCATAGAGCAAATTCGCCCAGTTATTTTAAGTTCCAAAAACAGAATGTATTACGGGAATTCTACCATTTTTCATAAACTTCATCTTCTCTACACCTCTTGGACGATTTTTGAAGAGGAACTTCACTATAGCTTCATAGGTATGTAATCCTAAGCTCGTTTTCTTCCATTTTTATCAACACCCACTAGATTTCTATGCCTAAAACATAAGATTAAGGGTAGAAAATTAGGGATTTGGGTAGAGTTAGGGCATTTTGATTATTTGGGAGTTTGACCTCGTTTTGGGGTCGGATTTCAAAACAAAATATATATTCGAGCTCGTGGGTGAATGAGTGATCGGATTTTGGTCCGAACCTCATGTTTTGACCAAGCGGGCCCGGGGTCAATTTTTGACTTTTTGGGAAGAATGATGGGAAAGCTATAATTAAGCATTAGAATTGGACTGTTTAGCGTTTATTGACGTTATTAAGTCAATTATGTCTAGAAACAATTAATTTGGAGTCAAATTCAAAAGGAAAGGCAGTGTTTGAGGTTTGAGTTGGCCGTGGAAGTTCGATGTAAGTGTTCGGTCTAACCTTAGCTTGAGGGATTAGAAGTTGTGTCCTATTTGCTATTTGCTTTTTGTTGAGTACGACGTATAGGCATGGTGACGAGTATCTATATATTGGTGTCGAGAATGACCGTGAGTCTTAAATTACAATTTATTTTGTGTTCTTAAATAATACTACAGATGCTTTAATTGATGATTCTCGATATTGAGCAAGGAATAAGTTTGTTTTCGTGGAAATTACTTATGATTGAGTACTGAAATTAGCTGAGATGAGTAGAAGTTGGGTTAAGATTGGTTATAGCTATTTCTCCCTTGCCAGGAAGTATTTACTTTTACTGTCGAATCCCTTGCCGGGATAGTGTAGTTTATTGTTGATCCCTTGCCGGGACTCTTGGTATGGTTGTTGCTAAAGGTATATTAATGTTATGTTGGATCAGGTTGCACGACGTAACAATACTATATATGGAACGGGTTGCACGCTGCAACAATGTTATGTTGGATCGGGTTGCACACTGCAATAATATTATATTAGATCGGGTTGCACGCCGCAACAGTGATATAAATGTATCGGGTTGCACGCCGCAACAGTGTTAAATGATAGGGATCGGGTTGCGCGCCGCAACAATGTTATTATAGTTTTGCTGTAAATCTTGAATTGTTATCTCATATTTCTCTTAAGTTTCTGCTGGATTCGATATTTTCCCTGTAGCATGTACCCCATCCCATGTTAATTGTTTATTCCTGTTTATTTTCTGATGTATATTATATAACTGCACTTGTTTATCTGGAGTCTGGTCCTAGCCTCGTCACTACCTCGCCGGGGTTAGTCCAGGCACTTACCAGCACATGGGGTCGGTTGTGCTGATGCTACACTCTGCACTATGTGCAGATTCAGGAGCAGCTTTTGGACAGTAGCCCTTGGGGAGCCTGCCTTCAGTCCAGCCAGAGATCCCGAGGTAGTCCTGTAGGCGTCCGCAGGCCCGACATTCTCTTCTACTTTATTATGTACTCTGTTTTCATTTGATTTCGAGACAGATTGTATTTCTTTCAGACATTTGTTGTAGTAATCTTAGTCTGTCCATGATATTGTGACACCGAATTCTGGGTAGAGATGTGTGTTGTCATTATCGTACTAGTCTTGGTTATTATATTAGATTAAGTCTTCCGCTTGATTTCATTTATCGTTAATATCTAAATGTTGGATACCTGTTAATTCAGATTGTTAAAAAGGGTTAAAAATGAAAGAGTTAGAAATTTCTATGTTTAGTGGCTTGCCTAGCTTCTACGAGTAGACGTCATCACGATTCCCGAGGGTGGAAAATACGGGTCATGACAGAATAAGGTGAATACTGCTGCTTAATACGTCGAAACCAAACGATTAATTGTAAATATAATAGCTTCGAATATAGAGAAATATTGCAATGGGCGCTATTGACCAAGATAAAAAATGATGTGTGGATTCCAAAACTGTAATAAGCAAAAGTTGTCTTTTTCGTATTCACTTTTCATTCCTCCTTTACAAAGTCTTCTCCCTCTATTTATAAGGGACAATTCCCTCGTGAACCTTAAAAAGTATAACATAAAGAATATTCGAAAAGTATATTCCTACTGTCTCCTGTTACGCCTACATTACTACAAATATCGTGCGTTTACTAACCCTTGTCAGTCGTCGCCCTCTACAATGACCAAAAGACGCTGCATCGTAAGGGCCTCGTCGCTTGCCGTATCCGTCAGTGATCGTGGTCGTCCAAATTTGGACCTATACAAATACAGTGCTAAAATTACTGTTAGCTCCGCCCCCGAATCCTGTCACGTTACATATACCCTTCATTTATTTTCACGTTATGTATTCGTATGCTATCAAATGAGTGTAATGTAAGGAACTGGAACGATAAATATACAGTGTATCCAAAATTTTAAATTTACGAGTTTTGAACCATAACTCTGTGTTTATTTCCGGACCACTTATTTCAACACTGGCGTGGGGGTGTCCCTCCTATGTTCCCTCATCTCAATTCAGTCGACCCAACATTGCCGTTCATGTGACCGACACCAATAGATGTGCATGAAAATTTGTGTTTCACGAAACGTAAACCTTATTCCAAAAACTCGCAGTGAACGTGCGTATTAAACACACTGTCCATTTAAATGGCAACAACAAGGCGCGTATGACAAAGTAGCGTGTGAGACTCATTTTCCGTGCTATGAAATTAATGTACAAGGAGAATAACTCGCCTACATATTGTCTCGCTTTTCTCATCCTATAAAATTATATCCCCTCTTCCTCATAATTCATCATTCCCAACTTGCCAATTTGCAAAACAACTCTTCATTTGCATAACTGCCAGAAGTCAGCAGTTATTCATCGTCGCCGGAGAAGGCAATTAATTACTAGTTATAAGTGCTTAAGACATACTTTTATATTTGTGTGGAGATGGAAAGAACAGCAACCTACGAGAAGGATCTCAATCTTAAGGCAACTGAACTAAGATTAGGTTTGCCTGGAATAGATGAACCAGAGAAACAATCTTCTTCTGCTTCTACTAGTGCTAAATATAGCAAGAAAAGAACATCATCAGAGATGGATAACTCATCTAGTGGAAAGGAAAATGAACAAGACTCAGCCCCAGCACCAAAGTAAGTGTTGTTTAGTATTTTAAAAGTTCTTTTTTTTTTTCTTCTTGGTTGATTTGATTCTTAATTATATAAATTGAGTTTTAACAAGAATTTTGTTTTAATAAATTCAGAGCACAAGTTGTTGGCTGGCCACCAGTTCGATCTTACAGAAAGAATGTGTTACAAATCAAGAAATCCGAGTCTGATAATTCCTCAGGGATGTACTTAAAAGTTAGCATGGATGGAGCACCTTACTTGAGGAAAATTGACCTTAAGGTTTACAACAGTTACCCAGAGCTACTCAAGGCTTTACAAAACATGTTCAAGTGCACCATTGGTAAGTTCAGTTAACTTATAAAAAGTACCCTAGAATGACATATACTTGTGATATTACTTAATTTCTAGGCTTAGAATATAATCTAATGTGTTTGTGTTTAATTTTGAAATTTCAGGAGTATACACAGAAAGAGAAGGATACAATGGATCTGATTATGCACCAACATATGAAGACAAGGATGGTGATTGGATGCTAGTTGGAGATGTACCATGGGATATGTTCCTTAACTCTTGCAGAAGGCTTAGAATTATGAAAGGATCTGAAGCTAAAGGTTTGGCATGCCTATAGGTTGTGGACATAGGCCTTAAAATTTAAAATAGAAAAGGATCCATGAAATATATGTCCTTATAAAGCAACAGCTTTATAATTGGGGTTTTAACATGGAATTACATACAGATAGCAGATCTAGGATGAACAAGAGAAAGACAAGATCTTGTATGATTTCAGTTTTGTAACTGCTAGCCCAGCAACGCATATACAGTTGCATGGGATAGATCTAGATCTAAGCTTGTACAAAAAGTTCTTTTTTTTTCCTTTACTTTTTTCAAGAATCTACTTTGTATTATTTACGATAGGAGTATATATATATACCGGAATACAAAATTTAGCAAAGAGCACACGTTATTTCGACTGCTAATTACTTTACATCGGATTATTCGAATACAGGAAAAGATTTAAGAACTTTAATTTTTCCGAAAGGGCGTTTCGATGGGTTAATATTGCGATAACTCTTAACAAACTACGGCGTGCATTAGAATAGGAACTAATTAATGGAATCTCGAGAAAAAAAAAAAAGAAAAAAGAGAAAGAGGAACTATTTATATATGGTCGATCTTCTACAATTCCGAGTAGGAGAAATTATAGGAATAGCCAAATTTCTCATTTCAACGTTAAAACGTAATTCTTTGGATCCAGATTAAGGAAGATCATTAATTTGCACGCAACGTTGCGGAGAGTCCCTCCTTGAGACGATAGATATAATTAGCGTTGTGGAATCTATATTTATATATCTATATAAAGGAGGGCCAAACAGAGTTGATGTGGCACCTCTATTTGACCAAGAAATTAAATTATCTTTTTTCTTATTTTTGCCTTTTACCCTATTTTTCCTATTTATATACTACTATTTTAGAAAATCTAAAAGTCACTTGTTTAAGAAAACCAAAAGTCACTTCTCACATCTGTTAACAAAACAATTATGGTACATTTAAAATTGCTATTACGAAAATAGTTACGATAAACATAAAATTCCAAACGCAAGTAACTGACCCATAGGGAAGCAATCACTTTCTCCAGTTTTCTTTTTAGAAAAAAACAGGCGATCTATGGTGAGTCTCAAGTCTCAACTATTTCCACTACATCCAATATGATCTTCTTTCTTCGTGTTATTTTCCTCGTGTATCCAATCTTATTTGGTTTAGTTATTATTAGTGTTCGTCCCCTTCCCAAAAAGGTTAATTTTTCTCTTCTTTTCCTTTTATTGCTTATAGGTTAGTGTAGCGTTGATTTCATGTGTATTTTTAATTTTTCATTTCACTTGCTGGAACTCCTTTTATCTCATTGTCCCCTTGATCCATTATCAGTTTGTAATTAGCAACTCACTTTTTTCATTGAAACATTCTCATGCTTACTCTTATCTATGCTTAATACATTTTTTTGTAAGATGAGGCAGATAATTGCAATAGATTAAGGAACAGTGTAAGGATGTGTTGATGGAATAGAGAATATGGTAATTTTGGAGGTACCGGAGGATATAATATTCTTAAAAGTTGAGGAATGCAAGATGAATCTTATTTGAGGTTATTAGGGTTTATTTCAGTTGTTTGTCAAATTTTCTTAATTTTTGTGAGAAAATATAAGGAACTTTCCTTCAATACTTCCTTTTTTCCCTTTTGTTTTTTGGTTATTTTTTTTTCTTCTTGAAATACAAAAGCTACATATATATGGTGTAATTCGGAAGGTATTATATTTGATAATAAAAGAATGTGTTTATCTATTTATAAAAATAGGTTCATACTCCCATTAAATAAAAAAGAATTGGTTCGTATTATGCTTGGTGAAGTTTATATTTTTTGCAAAAAAAAAAAAAAAAAAAAAAAAAAAAGAAGAAGAAGAAGAGATTTCTTGCATGTGCTTTTATTATTTGGCGGACCCGCTCTGGCTGACAAGAAACAAAATTGGTTCAATAAGACAAGGACCATAACGTTGTACATTATATTTCTCTTGCTTATTTAATTATTGATCAATTTATATCAAGGGAAAAAATATTCTTCCTCACTTCCTGCAATAAACACTTATATGATTGATCAATTAGGAGAGATTAATCAATTCCCTAGAGCGGAAGTAAGATCATAATTTTCGATTCAGACTTCCTTCTTTGTTGGACAAAGCTGGTGATGCCAGTATCCATGAGGAAGTTAATGTGCCCAACATAGTAGAAGTACATAGTGCTAAGGATTTTCAGATTATATATTTTTTGCTGAAATTATATTTGCACTTTGGGAAACCATTGTTATATTTGAAAGAAGTGCAGATTTGATTTTTAGTAATAGCACTGCTACTTTATAGCAACACATATTGCATATCAGTAGGATTTATTACTGCACAAAGTAAATATATTGTGGTCTAACTTTTAGTGGATAAGTATGAAATATTTAGTATGTGCTTAATTTGGTAAAATTTGTTTTTCTTCAGGGTAATGAATATTAAGTTGGTTCTTTTTGAATTTTATCTCAGGTGAACACTAGAATCCTCTCCTACTACTGATAGAGGTGGTATCATTTTATTAATTCATTTTTGTGTAGTATGTCTCTACTTCAAGAAAGGCTAATTGAGTTTCTTTTACGAAACTTAAGCTGAGAAATATGACATGCTCTTTATTTATCCAAATTTCATATTTAAACTCATATAATCAACCTATTTATCTTTTTGTTTATCCCAACTCCTGAGATAGTTGGCCATGAGAAATCTCATTAGAGTTTATCAAATATGGTACGTAGTAAAATGAAAAAATAAAATAATTAACTGGCGTGATAAGTAAAGTGTTATATTTGATATTGTGCAATTCCTATTATTGCTTCATATATATGATGACCATTTTTTGTGTCTGTCATTTTGTTTTTCAATTATTTGCTAAATTGAATCTATGGCCATTTTTCAATTGAGGTATGTAAATTTCTTTATAAATCTTTATGCACATTGTTAGGCACAAGTGTCCTTGAGAGCTTTTTTCCTTTCCTTTACTTATAATAATTTCATAATTTTTCTCTTCAATCTTGGCTAAATTTATGAGACGATCATTTCTAAATTTACCAATATATCGCACGAAGCGCGTGTAAATTGACTAGTTAATTAATGTATTAGGGGACCGGGTTATACATGTTGTTGCATCCCTGAAAAAGTGTTGTCATTCTGAACAGGGGTACTTTTATCAATCTGATTTATTCNTTTCGTACCTTTCGTTCAATGAGAAAATGGGTCAAATTCTACAGGATCAAACCTATGAGACTTAAGGAATGATATAAAAAAAGAGAGGAAAAATATTCATATTAAATAAATATGAAGTAGAACAACCCAGATTCCAAATGGACAAATTCAAACTTGAAAAAGATCTTCCTTATTCTTGAAGAATGAGAGGCAAAGGGATTGATCAAGAAAGATCTTTTGTNTTGTTCCAACAGTGTGATGAAGAATAGATCCGAGAAAGAGACTTTCATTTTCAGTCTCTTATTTATTTTATTTTTATTGAATTTTCGATTTTCTAAAAGGAAAATCTAAAAGGAAAAATAGTAGATTATCTCTTTTTCTAACAGATAAAAGAATCTAAAAATAAATATTCGATCGAACTGTCTTTTTTCCTTCGATCCGTGGAAAGATATACTCTGGGGTTTTAGATTTATTTATATGAAGTATGAAGGAAAGGGATCGCTTGGTCCTTGAAGAGTTCTTTCAAAACAAAGGATTGATTGAATTGTCTTATTAGGACAATTCATGGTTCATATGCTTAGTCAGAAGGAATAATCCAATGGAGTTCATAGATTTACCTAGGTCAGTTTATGGGCTAATCAATAAAGTATTTTTATCTTCGAAACCCATTGGAAAGGACAATGCAAGAGAAATCATACGGATTTAGGGGGCGGAAGGGGTTCACCCGAACCCCCTTTACTGAAAAATTACACTATATATATGAAGCAAAATATGTTTTTTTACCTCTATATATTAAGTTTTGAATCCCCTTGATACAACCCAAAAGTGTAACTTAGTGGTCAAGGGGGTTCAAAACCTTTGTAAAACCATAGGTTCAACTCCCAATAGCTACATTCTTTTTTAACTTTTTCCATTTTGAACCCCCTTAGAGGAGATCCTGCCTCCGCCACTGATTCTAAAGTTGCCGAAGAACTATCATAATACATTATTGTCTTGGACACCAGTTGTTTTTAGGAGTTGTTACGGTATTTCCTTTGGAAGTATCCTCTCAAAAACCTTATTGCAAAGAATTGATGTGTCTGACTGAGATTTTATTAGACTTTGTATACGGTTAAAATCGGGCCTACCCGATTTTACTATTTGATCGAGACCAGAAGTTGTATGGAGGGCCCGCCTCGTAGTGGAGCAGATCAAACTGACGAAGATAAGGTGTAGAGTTTGAGAATTGAGGTGCCTTTCGAGATCGAGGCCAGCGATGTTCGAGACCAAATATGGCAAATTTCGAGCAAAGCGCAATAACGGAAAGGCGGGATATCCGTGACCGATCGAAGATCACGGCAGAAATCCCGGAAGAGATCAAATCAAGGGCGATTGTTCAGGCTAATCATGGGATTTACTTTCGTAATTAGAATTGTACCATAGGTAGGATTCATTTACTATATAAAGAGGGTTTTGATCATTTCGTAAACACCTTACATTCACGCATATCAAAGCAATACAATACTTTCTGATTTATATTCTTGTTCATCAGATTATTATATTTTTAACTATTCTTGCATCAATTAGTTCGAGGGTGTTCAACTCGAGAGCTGAACTCCGTTCAAACACTGGTTTACTTAATTTTATTGTTAATTTTTGCTACTAATTTTCGTATTTATCAATTGATATTAGGTGAAATCACGTGTCCTTAAAACAACATTATAAATTTAATTGCTATTCAATTTTTGGGGTAACAGTTTGTCACCCACCATGAGGCTAAGGATAATAGTGATTGCCTAGTATTAATTTTCATAACACACACTGCTTTACACTTGTTCTCGTAAGTGTTTTTGATTTCAGGATCAATATGTCTAACTCGTAAGCAGTACTATTCACGCCGATGACAGCTTCGGTTTCCATGGAGAAAACGATAGTGTAGCCACCCTAGGGATCGAAGTGCCTCAAGCTGGCCATGAGGGAGTACCGATCGCAGTCCCCGTCGATGTCAGTTCGCATGTCACCCTAAGTGCAAATCTAAGTGTCGACCCTAGAAATAGTGTCCGCAAAGATGCCTGAGCAGCCGATCAAAACACACATAGCGGTGGAGAAGGCAGAATTAGCCTTCGAATGATATGTGAAATGTTGCAGACTCAACAAGTTGTGATAATGCAACTCCAAAATCAGAATCGAGCACCAAGCAGAATTGAGC